GCCTCGATGCGCACCCGGGATCCGAACCCGGGCCGCCAGCATCGCAGCACGCGCACTTAACCACCAAGCCACAGGGCCGGCCCGACAAAGATTTCTTAAACAAGGCACAAAGGGGCTGATCACAAGAGAGCAATTTGATAAACTGCATTACATCAGCATTAAGAACTTCTGTTCATCTAAGGATATCACAAAAGAATAAAAAGGTGACCTTAAAGACAAATACCATGTGATTTCACTCACATGTGGCAGATAAACAAACAAACACACAGATATGGAGAACAGATTAGTGGTTACCAGAGAGGAAGAGGATGCGGGGGGAGGGCAAAGGGTAAAGGGGCACATATGAATGGTGACGGATGGAAACTAGACTTTTGGTGGTGAACACAATGTGGTCTATACAGAAACTGACATATAACAATGTACACCTGAAATTTACACAATGTTATAAACCAATGTGACCTCAATAAAATAATTAAAAAAAAAAAGTGACCTTCAGAGTAAGAGAAGACATTTAGAATATGTTTATCTGACAAAGACAAAGGATTTATATCCAGAATATATAAAGAATTCTTAGGGGCAGCCCGGTGGCATAGTGGTTAAGTTTACACGCTCGGCTTTGGTGGCCTGGCGTTCGTGGGTTTGGATCCCGGGCGTGGACCTACACACCGTTCATCAAGCCATGCTGTGGCCGTGTCCCGCATACAAAATAGAGGAAGACTGGCACAGATGTTAGCTCAGGGACAATCTTCCTCACCAAAAAAACAAAAAGAATTCCTATATGTCAGGAAGAAAAAGTCAGACAACTGAATTCAAATGTGGACAAAAGATTCAGGAGCTGGCCTGGTGGCGGAGTAGTTAAGTTTGCATGCTCCACTTTGGCAGCCTGGGGTTCACAGGTTTGGGTCCCGGGCACAGACTTATGTACCACTTATCAACCCATGCTGTGGCAGGCATCCCACATATAAAGTAGAGGAAGATGGGCATGGATGTTAGCCCAGGGACAATCTTCCTCAGCAAAAAAAGAGGAGGATTGGCAACAGATGTTAGGCTCAGGGCCAATCTTCCTCTCACACACAAAAGATTCAAACAGGCATTTCATAAAAGAAGCTATCCAAACAGCTAATAACACATGAAAAGGTGCTCATACTCATCAGTCATCAGGAAAACGCAAATTAAAACCACAGACCCTCTTCAGGACTAAGAGGAAAGCTACTGGAATCCTTATTGGATTCCCACAGGCCCTCCTCAACGCAGAGGGGTGCCCAAGCGTCTCCCCCAAGGCAAGGAGGGAACTCCCACCAGTACGTTCTGGCCCTGGCAGCCAGGCTTCCTCGTCTCTACAACTCTGAGAAAGAGGAAATGATGCTCTGCACATACAACTTCCTTAGGCTGCCAAGAAGCGGAAGAGAGGAGAAAGTGTAGCCCCGGAGGAGGGTGCCACCCAGATGCTGAATGAAAGCCACCAACTGCAGGGCCGTAAACGAGTTGGGTCAAGGGATGCTTTTTGGGGATGCCCCACAGAGGCTGAAGCCCCTGGCAGGAAGACAAGCAGCTGTCCCACTGCTTATTCTCAGATCAGACAGTGCTGACCAGTCACCGCCCTGGACTCAGCCTCAGAATCCTCCTCAACGCACTCCTCCCAGCAGCCACTACCAGTGGTAGCCTGTCAGTGCCTGGAGCAAGTCCATTTGCCGTGCCTGACCAGAGGGCTCAAGCCTCTTCAGTTTCAATAGAGGTGGGGCCGGCCCTGTGGCATAGCGGTTAAGTGTGCACACTCCACTGCTGGCGGCCTGGGTTTGGATCCTGGGCGCGCACCAACGCACTGCTTGTCAGGCCATGCTGTGGCGGCATCCCACATAAAGTGGAGGAAGATGGGCACAGATGTTAGCTCAGGGCCAGTCTTCCTCAGCAAAAAGAGGAGGATTGGCATGGACGTTAGCTCAGGGCTGATCTTCCTCACAAAGAAAAAAAAAAGGTTTCAATAGAGAAAAACAATTTTTAAAGTGTATTGACATTCCCTGTCTCACTCGACACACAAAAAATGCTCTGGGCTGGCAAGGGGCTATGTGCCCTCATTTTACAGATGGAGAAGCCGACTTCACACCAGGAGTATAAGGTGCAGCTGAAATTAGAACTCTTATCTTCCAAGGCACTCATTCATTTGTTCATTCTTTCAAACACTGGCATCTACTAGGTCAAGATACTGTACCAGGCCTGGGGGTGGCAAGTGAGGAGAGAGTCAGGGGCAGGTAGAGATAGATGAGTCAGATATGCTTGCTTGTCCACCGAGTTCAGAACATACTTGTGGAAGAAATGGAGGAATTAAGAGGGATAATAAGAGATGTTACCCCTGTCCTAAGGGAATCTAAGACCTACTCCTGGGATCTTTCTGCTTCAAACTTTCCTCAAGAAGTAAAAAGGCGCCCTCCCCTAGTGAGGCCCTCCTGCTGCCTTCCAGGTGGGAAACTAAAGCCCCCAGGAACACGGTAATGAGGGGAAGGCTCCTCCTCACTGAATGGCTAGGACAAGACAATGAACCTCTCACACCTTCCTCCTGACCAAGGGCGTGCTACGGGTCTCTCCACCCAAACACAGCCTGCAAGGAGCAGGCAGGCTTGCTGCGGTCAGAGCCTGGACGGCTGGGGCGGGCCATGAGCTACCGAGAAGGCTTTAGCGAGGGAAGGCTGGGCAC